ATCTGTATCTGTATCTGTATCTGTATCTGTATCTGTATCTGTATCTGTATCTGATACCGAAAATACTTTTCTGTCGATATCTTATTTATTCATCGGATATCCTATGACAATTGACAAAGCTTAAAAAAGCCAACAGTGTTAGATGATTAAAATTATATAAACAGCAATTTCTGTTGGCTAAATGGTAAATGACAAACATATCTGGTGTGTGTACATACATATCTATATAGATGTTTGTCCATGTATAATGGTGTTTGTGTGAGTGTGCGCAAGTCTTTGTGTTTGTCTATCTGTGTGTCCACACAAATAAACGATAGTACGAACCTTTGTTAAAATGACGACGGGAAACATGAATCCAATTAGCAGCACTAATACAGCCGAGTCAACGCCCTCGGCTATTAGCTCGTGCACAGTATTATTTAGGTTGAAGGGGCGTAAGATAACTTTTGGCAACGCAGCGTTACCGGATGCCATCAGCAGATACTGAAACGATACGGAATGCTGCAAAGATATGAAGCCCTCGCGTACATATTTGGATGCCTTTTTTATGTTACTAGTATTTGACTTTCGCGAGCTGTGCGTATCGAGCGTCCCCTTAATATGCCACGAATCACCTATCCAAGTGTTATCATAAAATCTCAACTCCGCTGGCATCAATATCGAAAAGCGTAGCTTGCCGGGCAGACCATGATGCGATTCGTCCACATCGTGAAAGCACAAGCTGGCAATATAATTTTGCATTTCCAAGCGAATGCGCATCTCATCGCAATCAGCAAATCCATAGATCTCATCCCGTTTCAGGGATATGCCGGTCAGGGCCACCTCCACCAGTTGACGGATGCCAGCCGTTGTGTTTGGTGCATAGCCGACAGCAATGTGCGGCACAAATACGTTGCTCTTAAAGCTGTTGAGCCGTGCAATTCGACAATCAATCAATCAACCAATCAATCAATCAAGCAAATAACACATTCAACATTACGTTTTATCCTCTCTGATCATACGCTCGCGACGTTCCTTTATTTTATCGATAAGCGCCTTCCACCAGACCTCGTATTGGATCGTTTCGCTCGAGCTTAATTCCGCAGCATCGATTTTGGGGGAATATCGTATCATGATAATAAATAGAGAGAATAAAACCGGCATCACCATAGCCGTTATAACGGTGCCCTTGTATTTGCGTTGCTTCTTAAAGAACTTGGACACCTCCAGACAGAAGATCGTACAGCTCGAGCGTTTTCTGGGCATGATGGTACCTATCAAACTGTGCGAATTTCAGTTAAATATTTCTTTTTGGCTAACGACGAGAATGATAACTCACAGTTTTCTATGAAATGCTCGTGTTGAAAATTGAAAATTTCGACTAGAATTGTAAAAAACTTGTACTATTTTTGCTTGTTGTTGTTGTTGTTATTATTATTGTTATTGTTGTTATTGTTGTTGTTCATTCAACTGTTGTCGCCCAATAAATGCCAAATGTTTCTTTGCTGCTTATTTCGCGACATGAACACATTCGCCTCAGCACACAGGTGCATTTTGTTATTCAATAAAAATGAGATGGCAACAACTGAAACTGGAACTGTTGCACACCGTTTTGGGGCTGGTCTTCCTTTGTGTGCCGTGCCTGGCCAAAGCTGAGTGCTACTGCTACTGCTGCTGGTGCTGGTGAGGTCAGCATGATGCTGCATAATGTAATCAAGTCCGTGTGTCCTTCAGCACAACTGGGCAACGTTCAGTTGCTTAAATACTCGTAATAATACCACTCTTTTAACTGGGTCGGCTTATAATTTGATTGTGATTTTAATTGAACTACAAAAAAGGCGCTCTCAAAATGTTGCCCATCAAAGTGAATATTTAAATGGAATTGCAAACATTTTACAGCGAGCCGATGCCAACATGCTTCGTGTACATTACAGATTCAGACACACAATATATTTTTGCAGAAATATGCAAATAAGTTTATCAATATTATTATTAATACCTTCATTATTATTTTTGGTAACACATATATAACCAAAATATAGATAGCTTGGGAGCATTTCATTAGCTAATTCTGTATGAATATTATTTTTTTTTATATTTATTTTTTTTTTATCAATTTTTCTGTTTAAAAATTAAATTATTTGTTTGGCTTTTAGTTAATCTCTTTGAGCTCAATAATTTTATTTTTTAATTATTTTTAATTATTATAAATTATTATTTTTAAACAAATTTGTAATTTACAAATTTACATAAATCTTTTTTTTTTGTTTGTTTTTACTTTACTTATTTATTTTACTTATTTTGGCAACATATAATTCGCTAATTAATTAAATGAAAATTCGTTAGCAATTCCTATATTATTTATCTAGAGAAAATTTGTATGATAACGTATTCTTTGATATTTATTTCAAAATTTCCGCTTACAAAAAAAAAAAAAGTAAAAATAAAAATATATATAAATAAAAATAAAAAATAAATAAGATAACATAAATAAAAAATAAAATAAAAAATAAACAAATTAAAAATAATAAATTAAAATACTGAAATACTGTTTAGCTCCTAGATTATCTATCTACTTATATCTAATAAAAAAGTTTTAAAAATCCAAATATATTAGGTCATCGCGTGATTAGCAAATTCTTTAAATAGTTTTAATAAAATTTAATAAAATCTTATAAATATTTAATAAAATTTTGAAATGACTCGCATTATAAATTTACCTCAGTTGGTTCAGCTTAGCATTATAATAATCATATGTTATACATATGAATATGAGCTGGGAATACCCTTCTGCCATCTCTCAAGCGGTGCGTCATGTCAGGGCCATCAAAAAAAAAAAAAAAAGGAAAAAAAAAAAAAAAAAAAAGGAAAAAAAAAAACAACAACAATAACAAGAGGAGAAACAAAATGAAAAACGCAGTAGCGGCATCAGCTTGAAGATGGCAAGCGCATCTTTGGGCCCACTACAAGCTCTACGAGTACTTGGTTAAGTTGTGCCAAAGTGTATACATATGTATATGTATATGTGTATATATGTGTGTGCTAGTATGTGCTAGTGAGTGTACATAGGCTGAGGGCTACGTGTCCTTGAATATAGGCATACATATTCGTGCTGCTGGCGTTGCGTATTTTCTTTTCGGCTGCTCAGATTGATACATTTTAGAAATCGTATACGGGCGGGGACTATTTCGCACGCCCGAAAATTGGTCGGTGCTAAATTCTTCAAGTCCGTGCACGGACATAAATATATGTACTTCTTACTTATTTACATACACACACACACATACATGACAACTAAGGCGTCTCTGTGTGTGTGTGCTTGAGGATGGTAGAATGGAAGCTGTTCTCTTTGTTGGCTCCACATCTTAATTATATTTGTGCGCGACTTTGTGTATGTGTGTGTGTGTATGTGAGTATTTCAGAAACAGATGTCTGCTTGTGTGACAAAACACTAAAAATATCTCAAGCATGTGGCATGGTATGCCAGCAGTTGCCAGCAACAACCGAGGCGCGGGCACCAGTGCGCGCAGTCAGGCACTCAGTCACACCGCTAGCCCTCATACTCATGCATGAAACAACAGTCTTCAACGTAACGCAACGCAACGCAACGCAACGCAACGTAACGCACCGCACCGTACCGCGCCGCACCGCGAATCCTCATTCTAGCTTAAAACGCCTCTCACGATGCCCACATCTACCCAGCACCTACACCTCCTAAATACAATCTTCAAACCGAAATTCCCCAATGCCCATGCCCATGCTCATTTCGTTCGTATAAAAAGTAAATGTCAATGCTCACACCGTCAGCGAGTAAGAGAGAGGGCGAGAGTGAGAGGGAAAGATCTGGGGAGCATGAGCCAGTGAGAGACAGAGAGAAGCAAAAAAGCCCAACAGTTTCACCATGCAACGTGTGCTTAAAAAATTCCCAACTTGTAGCAAGCAAGAACAATAAAAACAGAAAATATCCTCAAACACCTACACGAGTCAACAGCGGCGAGAGCGAAAGAGTGTGAGAGGCAGAATGTGAGTGAGAGCGTGAGCGTAAACGTAAACGTGAGCGTAAGTGAGTGACAGTGATAGATAGAAAAAGTTCATATTGTGCCGAAGGGCGCGCATCGGCACTCTCTGTGCTGAGCTCGGCTTAATCTGCGCAACTGCTCACGCGCACGGTGTCTTTGCCGATGCCGACGATGTCGAAGGCGATGCCGAAGCTTCGTGGTCGCGGCCGATGTCGCGAAGCGTCGCGACGTCGCCTTTGTTAAATGTGCCTGTGCATCCATCCAATGGATGCTGACTGCAGCGCAGCTCCAGCTGCTGGCCTAGTTATTCAGCGAGGAATAAGGTGTGTGTGTTTACTTAGAGCTCGCGCTCTTTGCAAACCGCTGCAGCCAAATGTGAATTCGTCAAATTCACGAGAGTCGAAATGATTGTATGTGTGTGCGAGTGTGTCTGCGTGTGTGTGTGTGTGTGCGATTGTGTGTCTATGTGAGCGTTGTTTGTGTGGTCTGATTGTGTCACTATGTCAATAGTTGTCGTTGGTCTTCTTGGCAGGCACTCCATAGCCACTTGCTGAGAGTAGTGAGCGCCGCTTTAACCGTCGCGCTCTTTGCAGCTGATGTGCAGTGCTGCCATGCCGCCTAACCCCTGTGTTAGGACACACACTCACACATACACAGACCCACGAGCACAGCATGTAACAACAGCAGCAACAGTAACAACAGCAGCAGAGCAGCAGCCGCCGCCGCTGCCGTCGTCGTCGCAGCAGCACCAGCAGTGACAGCGACGTAAGGCGCCTTGTTATTATGTTTACAATGTTGTGTAAAGTTGTAAATGAAGCACAAAGACAACACATACATGTGTACAAGCCGACACACACACACAGATACACATTTATATATTTATATGCTTATGTATGTACATGTAGGTCTATGCGCTGTGTATACACACAGGTGTGGCGTGTGCGTGTTTTAGTGTGGGAATAACAAAAGGCAATGAACGGGCAATAGTGTCGCCCAGTGGGCGGCCGGGTCTGAAGTTCACAGTTTGTCCACCTGTGCTTGTGTATGTGTGCGTGTGTGTGGGTATTGTGATTGTGTGCGCTTTTTGATTTCTCATTTGATTGTTCACCCATTTCAGTGGCAGTCCCGATCCCGATCCGGGTGCCGGTACCGGTGCCGGTCCCAGTCCCATGCCCCGTCCCAGTCCATTTACAATGGGCATTAATTATGTATGCCTCAAAGGTTCAACTGGAAAATTGGTCGACTTCTAAACAGCAAACATTCTGGCTAAAAGTGTAGCATAGTTTTCTGCGCACACTATGACTGCGTCGAGCTGGAGCTGGAGCTGGAGTCGGAGCACGAACTGGCGAAGGAGTTGTAGGTGTGGTGTGGTGAGGGGGGGTCGGAGCTGGCGACGTAGATGGAAATCAAGCATTAAGGGTGCGTTGAGTAGTGGGGCTCTTTGGCGCTGCCGGATTGGCGGGGCCATGATTAGATTTGCAAATCGCACACTATTGAATTTGACAGCCTTCTATTCATGTAAATTTTCAATTTGTCATTACCCGTTGCCGAGCTGCCAGCCGGAATTCCGGAATTAACTTTAACGAAGTTTGCATATGTGATTGCAAAATGCCAATCTGTCTACCAATCTATATATATACACACATATATACATATATATGCATATATACAACATATAGATATAGATGTATAGTATATGCATGCAATGGCAAATCCGTCCAGCTAATATTTATTACAATTGCCGAGGTCAGGGGATGTTTTTGGCTAACAAAAGCAGAACATGGCCAACGGGCAGCGCTAACTCCAAATTTCTAGTCATTTGCCAAAAACAAAAGCAAAGCAATCGAACGGCTCGCTCTCTCGCCCTGGGACCAGGCAATAATTTTCAATTGAATTTTGAAATTTTCATTTAAAGCCAGGCGGCAGAGGCAAGCCGAAGGTAATAATTGACTAGAAAAGGCCATGCGAAGGCCAAGTCGAGCCGTGTCTTTGTCAGTTGCGCTAGCGCTGGCGAATGGAATTCAATTAAATCTCTGCTCATTTTAATGAGATTCGAGCCCGGCTTTCTGGTTGACGAAGCGCAATGCTATACAAAATTCAGTTAGTTTTCCGTACACAAAAGGCGTATGGCGTGAATTGCCGGATTTGCTCGTAATTTACACCTAGACAAAATGCACCTCAGTGTTAAGTGATGCTTAACATCAAAATTGAAGAAGTTGCTGCCGAGTGCCGCACTCTAAACAATACGTACCCCAAATATACAAGTGAAAAGTAAAAAATAAGCAACACAAACTACGCCCAGCGCCAACACCTAACCAATTAAAAGTTTTTCTCAAAAACTTTTCGAATTAACTCTAAAAACAACTTAATTTTGTATTTTAATTTTTCTTTCTTTTTTTGTTGTTTTCTTTTTTTTTTTTTTTTGTATATTTTGTTGCGTTGCTCTGTGGGCGCTGACTGCACATATATATACGTATATAGGTATAGGAATGTATATGTATATCTGAGAACAACATTGTGCTTTAAAATTGTATTCCCATTGCTCAGTCTGTAGTTGTTGTATATATATTTCATTTGACTGAGAAACTTTTAGTGTCGGCATGTGTGTGGCCTCTGCATATGTGTGTGTGCTCGCTTGCTCTTTCGTATCTACAAAATATCCCATTTTTCCTAGATAATTCCACACGTCCATCGTGTAAAAACAGGGGCGTTGATGCTCCCGCCCTATACATTTTTTGGCCTACATCGTGGCACGTAACACAGCGAGAGGCTGGGTGAATAGGCGGGGAGGCCCGTTGAGGGAGAGAGAGAGAGAGGGGCTGGCCTTTGGGGTGTGGTGTGTGGCGGTAGCCAAAGACGCCGCCACAATAACAGTCAGCAACGCGCTTAATAAGAGACCAACTAACGGTACTTGTACATATACATATACACCCGTAGCTGAATAGAAATTGAGAGAGCCAGAGAGCAAGAGTTGAAAAATAAGAGAGAGAGAGAGAGTCAGCGTCGGCAGAGGCTGTGATGCTGCTGCTGCTGCTGCTGCTGCTGCTGGTTGTGCGTTCACCCCCGGGACTCGGAATGGAAACCGGCTACAGCATGCTCCAATGCTCCATTGCCCCATTGCTGGTGAGCGCAGCAGAGACATCTCTGATCTGCGACTGCGTCGTTGTTGACGACGATGTTGTTTGCTGCGATTCGGATAATTTTTGGGGCCGTGCGCTGCGGCCATGTCGCGTGCTCATGTCCTGCAGACTGCAGACGTATGCGAGCGCTTTAGAACGTTGTTTGCAATCGCGGAAAGTGGCAACGGGAAAAACAGCAACGGTGACGACAGCAACAGCAACAGCACCGCCAACAGTCGACCATAACATAACAGTGCCAGAGTACTACAACAGCAACAGCAACAGCAACAGCAACAGCAACAGCAACAACAACAGTAACAGCAACAGCAACGACAGCAACAACAATCACAATAGCAACATTAACAACAACAGCAACAACATTCACAACATTAACAATAACAGCAGCAGCCAACATTTATAACAGCAACAACAGTAGCAGCAGCTAACAACAACAACAACAGCAACAACAACAACAACTGTCAACGGCCGCATCCAGAGTCACAGCCGGAGTCTGAGTCAGCGAAGAAAAACATCAAATAGAAAAGACACACGCAAACGCACACACACACACACACTACACATACACACACACATATATATATATATATATATAGAAGCAGAGGCAGCAATTAAATTGAAATGCAGTTGGTCTGTTGTTTAATGTAATTTTTAAATTGTTACGCACACACACACATATACACCCGCACACACACACACACACACACACAGAGGTAGAGGAAAAGAAGGCACAAACCAAACACAACGGGAAAATGACAAGCAGACAAAGATGAAAAAACTGCGATTACACATAATTGCGATTCGGTGAGCAGGCGCATTCAATCAACCAAGCAACCAACCAACCCACTAACGAAGCAATCGGAAAATAGGTGCACCTTTAATACGCTACAAATTAGAGGAAAACAAAACAAAAAAATTAATAGAAAAACAAAAACAACGTAACAACAAAAAGATAAGCATAACCAAAAAAAAAAAAAATAAATAAATAAATAAATAATAATAATAAATAAATAAGAAGAATATGCGAAATATTTTATAAAGATTTTTTGCCAATTTTTTTTTACTGTTTGCCCGCAAAACGGCGAACGTCAAGTGTTCAAGTAGTTAAGTGTGCTGTAAAACCAAGTCTCACAACATCTCGGAGAGGCGAAAATGAAATAGAGAAACCGACAAACGCTGCCAAAAGAAAAACAAAGAAAATATATGCAAAATGAAAGCAAAAATTATTTGAAAAAATACAAAAAAAACCAAAAACAAAAATGAAAATGAAAATGATTTAAAAGTCACAACAACAAAAAGTCGCATGGGTAAGTTGTATATATATATATCTATATATAACTAATTACACACACACACACACGTACACGTACACAGGCACTCGCATGCCGTTACACGCACGAGCATGTGTGTGTACATACAAACATGCTGTGCTTTCTTTCGGTTGTCCGGGTCAACAAACAAATGGGCAAAAAGCGTTGCGTGCTTTCAGGCGCCACCCGCTCGCGCTGCGAATGCATTCGCACACACACACACACATACTAGCAGATGTGTATATGTGTGTGTATGTATGTATACATATAGAAGCATATGCTAAAGTCAATTGTATTTGTCATCAATTTGAATCTATATGTACTTATGCAATACGCTCCTCCATAGCCCCCCCTATACACTCACACACACACACACATTTAACTCTCGCACATCATTCACGTTTTCTGCGCATATTTCATCAAATATCAAATAGTCTGGCAACTTTTTTTAATGGCCAGACCATCAGTCTGGCAACTTTAGAGAGCATAGTAATTTCAAATAAAAATAAAAATACAAACAAATAAAACACAACTACAGTTAGCTAGTTCGTAATGAAATTAACTGTATTTGAGTTTTTTTTTGTGTGTATTAAATTTGATTTCGCTTGGGTTTTGCGCTAAGTGCGGATCGTTTGTGGGGCAAAAGTGTGGGCAACTGTGTGAGGCAGGGGGGGGGGGGGGGGGGAATGTGTGAGCTTAGTCGAGCAGACTAAGGCTAAGTAATGGCTAGATAAGTAAGAGCTATTACGGAGTTTTGCAAGTGCTGTTATCAGTTCGTTAGACTATGAAGCAGAAGATTTATGACATTTGCAAGCATAGTTATAAGATCTGAAGGGTATGAGAAGTTGTATATAATTGCAGTTATTGGATATGTACTCTATGATAATCAAGCGCCACTTGCGATATTGAGATCTAAATTGGGATATACAGTTATTTCGTTAGAGGTTTCATAGTTAAATATGCTTTAATTTGGCTTGAATAGAAATATCTACATATTGTTAAAGGTATTACATGTGTATCAGAGTTAAATTTCGAATATGTCAAGAAGAAGAGTAATATATAAAAAAAAAATACATATATAAGGGAGAAAAATGTGAGACAATGACTTAAAAGTTCTTGATAAAATATATATGACTGGATCTTGACATATTCAAAATTGAGATTAGTCATATCCAAGAGAATATTTGAGTTAGTCTTAGAGGGAGTTGATCGCGGTACGAAGAGATACTCTGTCTCTCTTCCTCTCTCTCTCTCTCTATATATATATATATACATATATATAAAATCGTACTATACATGTATATTATACATATTTATGTTTCCACACACACTCACACATGCACATAAACATCAACTCCTACATATTTATTTAGTAACTTCATCTTCATCATCTTCCTCTTCTACTTCTTCTTCTTCTACTTCTTGTTGTTGTTCATTGTCTGATGGTATGCAAATATATGTGCATATTTATACATATGCTTCCTAATTATACTATATAAAATAACTGAAAGTATTGCCCCGACCACAGTTGTCGGTCTTTGGGCTTTGATGGGGTAGAAGGCAGCGGCCGGAGCAGAGTCAGAGACAGTGGCAACGGCGGCAGCGAAGGCGTCAGCGGAGGCGGCGTCAGCTGCGCATGACTGACAATCGCGATTCGAAAATTGTTTTTCGCCCGTCGGGCCATTTGTCCGGCGTAGATTAGATTAGGGGATTTGGTCGGCTCTGTTGGCGGGGTCGTGCGGTTAGGGGCATTTTAGTTAATTGGATATTGGATGCAGCAGCTCCGGCCAGTGCCCAGTGCCCAGCAGCAAGCATCTTCCGTTTTTGGGGCGGAGACGACATAACGTAACGTAACGTAACGTAACGTAACGCAACGTAACGGCATTAATATTTTCTTCGCCTGACCAAGTTGCCAAGTTGCCAAGTTTTTGGGCGCGTTGTGTGCCAACGGCTGCTGTTGGGCTTGGGCTTGGGCTTGAGCTTGGGCATGCGTCGATATTGTGTCGCTGCTCGGCTATTTGATATGGCGTACATTTGGGCTACAGCTTCGCATTTGGGATGCTGTTTTTGGCCAAAGAGAGCAGAGAGTGTGAGAGCTAGAGAGAGAGTGTGTGAGAGAGAGAGAGAGAGGCAGCAAGAGAGAGAGAGCGAGCGCTGACATTTGCTCTATGCGTGGGTTGTCAGCTGCCTGCTGACTGCCAGTTTTCTAACTTTGGGCCCAGCTCTGACTCTGTGTATGTGTGTGTGTGTGAGAGAGAGAGAGAGCGCTGCATATATGTATATATTTGTTTGTGTATGTCGGTCTTATGGCAATCGGCAAAATGCCAAAGCGGCTGTCGGCGGCGCCTGACGAACGTCCGGACCGCCTCCTGGCATCAGCAGCAGCAGCAGCAGCTGGCCCGCAGGGCACGGGGCGTCGGATTCCACAGGGCAACGTCTGCAAAATCTAAGAGAGCGAGAGCCAGAGCAAGTCTGAGAGCGAGAGAGAGAGAGAGAAGTAATGAGAGCGAGAGATTTGTTATGTGCTCCGTGTAGTTAACTGCCCAGACGATTCTTGAGCCCAGGCCGTGTGTTTTGTTTAGATTTATTTTTTTTTTGCTCATTCTTCTCTTCTCATATTTCGGTAAATTTAGGTTTATTATGCCCACTCGACGGGCATGAGGGTAGGCCTGTGCCATGGGGCACTTTAAAAGCATGGCTTAAGTTCTTTGAGAGCCCCAAGTATTTCAGTACTCCATTGTGCCAGGCTGAATTCCAATTCGATTGCGTTTAAGTTTCCTCTGGTCCGCATATCCCATTAAAATGTGCACGCTGCTCTATGGATGGCAGAGGAGGCGGGGGATAGCGGGCAGAGGTGGCGTCACATTTCCGAGCAGGCCAACAAATGGCCAAATACCAATTGGACCAAGGTTAAAAGCTGAAACCTTATTGCTACGGCTTATGTACATACCACATTCAGCCCAACACACACACACACTCACACACACAGCGGACACATCCAGGCAGCATCAGCCAAAATATGAGCCATAGTCAAGTTTTAAAATCCAATGTTGGCATGGAGACAAATGCACAGTCGCACAAGAGGCATGCGCTCCATCAGCCCCACTAGCGCGCTGCTCTTAGTTGAACATTTTTGCGGTTTATTGAGCGCTGGGCCTATGCAAAGCAAAAGATAGATTCCCCTTCAAACATGCAAAAAAAAGAGGAAACAAAAAAAGAACTAACAACAATGACCACTGCAGCACAGTGCCGCTGGCAGCGAATGCTGTGTGATTATGCAGCCGCATGATTGAAGCTGTGGCAAGTTGTTGTTGCTGACGCCCCTCTTTTCTGTCCCCCCCTCCACCCCTCCACCATTCCACCCCTCTGTCAACCGGCCATCCTACCACCCCTCTCCGGACCGCGTCAGGCCCAGCCCGATGTGCCCCAATGCCATTGCGGTTGTCATTAACAGGGTGGCCATGCGGATTATCTGTGTGGCCAGGGCTCTGGCCGCAGCAGCGCCGCAATCAAATATTTTCAAAGCGAGCCCTTGCCTCAGCCAGCAATTTTTCAATTGTTGTGTGTGTGTGTGCACGTGTGTGTGTGTGTGGAACGCAGTACCTTTTGCATACTTGGCTCATGGTATGTTAGCCAAATAGGCTCAAAGACCAAAAGCCATGGAATCATACAGAAATACTTTTCTGACTGACTTTTCACTTGGAGTGCAGTATATAAAGTTGAAAATAATATTTGTATAAACAAATATAAACATTGCCGAAACAAAAGAAGAAGAGGAAGAAGAAGAAGAAGAAGTTGCCTTGAGTTATTGCTGCTCTTCTAGGCGTGTAAGCTATGAACTTTTTCGGAACTTTTATGCCATAAAATCAAATTCAGTTTTGCTCTCACTTTGGGCAACAAGAAATATGAGTTTTAATCCAAAGTTTCGGCTAAGTTTTCATGCAGTTTTTGACAGTTGAGATTTTGCTGAGATTGATATCATTTATGATGAATTAAAAAACTTGTGTGCAATTAAATTATATTACTTATAATGAAATAATGAATCACTTGTGCTTAAATAATTTTTCGAATATTATTATAAATAAATAAAAAATAATTTATAAATAAATAAAAAATAAATAAAATAAAAAAATAATAAAATGAATAGTAATGAATTAAATAATAATAAAGAATATAATATAATAATACAAGAAATATTAATGGATTTAAAATTAAATTATAAATTTAATAAATGAAAACTATAACATAGTTTATTTTATAAATAATTCAAAATATAGATAGCAAAAAGCGAGTTTATAATAACTATAAAAATAAATAAATAAAAATAAATTAATAAAAATAAAATATAAAAATTAATATTTAGTTTTATTTGAAACAAATAAATGCTTTATAATTATAATATAATTTCATATTATATGTATAATACTTTCATTATTAATATTCACAATTATATAAATAAATATGGTCATAAATTTAATGCAAGTTTTAAATTGTAAAAGACTTTTTCTGTTGTTATTTTTGTACTCAATTTAAATAAAAATGATTTTTCAATACCCTGAACCCATTGAAAATGGATAATCAGGGTATAATAGTCTTTAACGGGTATATATAGTACATATGTATTCTTGATCCGAGCGTTGAGCGTTAAAACAATGATGATGTGATGAGTATTTTAATATAGATTTATGTCTATTTGATAGTACTTTGATTTCTGATATAATTCCATTTTAAAGCACTATCCGTTATTAGAAATTTTGTATTGTTATTGAGCGTAGCCAAATTATAGCATTTAATGAATGATATCTGTTTGTTAACGGACTCTCATTACGACTTAATATGCCATCAAAACACCCAAGCTCGGCCAACTAATTAGAATCGCCTCTTTGCCTTAGTAGCTGTGATGGCAGTAGTTGTAGTAGTAATACTAGTTCGCATACATACTAACATTATGTGTTGTAAATTACTATATTGCAAGGTGAAAAAAAAGGAAGAAAGTGAAAAGTTGACAAAAGTTGTTTAATAGCTTTGTTGTGCCAGCCAGCTAATTGTTGTGAGTAGTTAGTTGTTGATGGCGGCTAGGGGCTATTGAGACCAAAAGTTATGCTCTAAAGTAAAAGTTGGACAATTGTTTTAATTACTTATTTGATGTCAAAGCGAATGCAAGCAAAACAAAATAAGCTACTGCAAATAAAGAAGGGAACAAAATCTGAAATAAGATACTTATCGTAAAACAATAAAGTGTCTGAAATGGGGGAGCACAAAGAGCATACTAAATACAATTATAAAGGTAGCAAATGATATATATCTACATAAAGGGACAGACGGCAGAGTAGCTCGACCGTTTACAGACGAGTCGGGAAAAGTTCACAGCAAACTAATTTGAAAGAAATCGGGTAAAAGGATTTTTTCATCACGTTGAGCAGCTAATTGCCGTTATATGTATAGAGAAGGGCGGCGGGTGTTTCTCTTTCAATGAAAAGATTCCCATTAAGAAGGTTCTAAATTAATTAAAAAATTTAATTTATACTAAACTAAAATGATTTTAAAATATATAAAAAAAATACTTTATTTTGATTAAAATAAAATATATAAATGACTAGAAAAAGTAACTAATTTATAATTAGAATAATTAAAAAATGAATTAAATGATTGAAATATTTATAGCAAATTGTAGTTTTGTTTGAAATAGAATAAAAGAATATATAAAATTTATTTATATTTAATAAACTAAAAAATATAATTTTTATGGCATAATTTTTTTTAAATCGTATATATAGTATTAAAAATATTATGTGTTTAATTGCACTGCTTAAATAGTTATGAACAATATTTATAATAATTTACTTTTGTGTTTTGAATAAAAGAATAAATACAATTTATTTTATTTCAATAAACTAACAAATATAATTTGTCATACATATTATTTATTTTGTTTTTATTATATTTTATTATATTTATTATATTTTATTATATTTATTATATACAATATATCTATTTAAACATACTTCATACATATTATTGAAAATAGAAATGAAAAAAACAAAATATATAATATATAATATAATAATATTGAAATATAATATATAATATAATAATATTATATATTTTGTTTTTTTCGTTTCTATTTTCAATAATATGTATTAAGTATGTTTAAATAGATATATAGTTCTTTAAAAAAAATATAAATAAAATTTATAAAAAGCTGAAATATTCCTGAAAACTTCAATCTGACGCATATGAATATTGTATATATTAAGTTATATATATTTATTATATTATATGTATATACATATTTCATGACAACACACGTAAGGCTAGGTGGAGTTAAGCAGGGTCTGTTGTTTCAATTGTAATTTATTTATATTCAGTTTATTTATTATGTTGGTGTAGCATCTGTAAATCATAATTTAGAAGCTGATCAGCACATGAATGCTTAATTTATGTAGAGCCAAACGCCTTTATGCAGTATAAGGATATTGAAATTGGCGAAACACCATCTCAAAGGTCAGGCAGGAGTAGTTCTTTTGTGTGTGTAGGCTGCAGTGTCTCAGCAGCAACTGCTGTATGTATGTATGTATGTCTTTCAGTCTGCCCCTACAACTGTGTGCAAATTGAGATGCTTGCGGGGCACCGTTTGTTGTCTGTCGAAATATCCGATTCGGCAATATCTGTATGCGTTTGTGATTGGATTTCGCAGCGTGCTCCACCACCCCCACCCCCCAAACTGCAGCCCCAATGCACATATCAGCGGCAGCTGCAGTAGTCGGTGAGCTGTGTGTAAAGCTACTGCCAGTAAATGAATAAATAAAATTGAAAATAAAATAAATCAATTTAAAATTTAAATTAAATAATAAATAAAACCAGCAAAAAAAAAAAAAATAAATAAATAAATATAAGAAATAAAAAATTGCGTAAAAGGATTTACTTGAGCAGGTAATTGCCGTTTTTGTAGAGGGGCACGCAGCTGCATTGCCAAGAAGACAAAGATGCTCATTGCATTTAACATTGAGAATATCGAAAATGTACCCACTAATTGACTTATGGCGATAAATCCAATTATAAACGACGACAGCAACATCCGCACGGCAGCTGACGCTCGACAGTCAGGGACATTCGCTCACTCGCTCGCTCGCTCGCTCGCATCACAATTTGTTTACGTGTATCGGCGCACTGTGTGTGCACCCTTGACTGACTAGCCTGGCCTGCCCTGCCCTGGCCTGGCCTGGCCTGGCCTGGTCCGGCCCGGTCTGGTCTATCCATCCATCCGTTCGCATGGGGGTCGCGCCGCAATTAATTATTTAAGCTTTTCATTGCATTTGCTATGATTTAACTATGGCCCCTTTACGGCTGCCCTTGGCTAATTAGGCGCCTAACAGTGGATGTCAATCACAAGATTACTTTTTTATTTTTATTTTTATTTCTATTTTATTTTGGTTTTGATTTTGTTTTCTGCTCAATCATTAATTACAACTTGCTCATTAATAATTGAGTTAATGATTTGAGCCTTTTCAAAGATTTACAGTCAGCGTTTGATTGGAATCATTAAAAACGGAATTCGAGCAGGTGCAAAAAGGGGCACCGAGGCACCTGGGCTAATTCAAATCGGAGATAGAATTTTGCTACCAGATTTGCGGTCGATATTCACATTAGTCAAATTGTCAATTATGCCATTAGCTTGCCGTTTAATGCCCACTGTACGGCAGCTGCGCTCGCCTCAGCTCGAGCCACTTTGAAGAGCATCAGCAGTTGCTGCTCGGCTGCTGCCGATCGCTTAGTCGTGGACCAGTGATCGGCCAAGCGCGTTTAGCCGGGATAATACCAGACTGTATCTATACATAGTATACATATGCATATATGTATATGCACTGGGAGACATAATTCACAGATATTTGCTCTAGTTCATGCGCTGCTTAATGTAAGTATGTCAGGTTTAGACTCGAAAAGTTCAAGTTTGTGAAATGCAAATTGACTTACATTTCGTATTGAATATCTGAAGAGCATGAAGCTTTAAAAGAATGCTGCTCATGATTTCTATATATACATATTCATAAATTTTAAAAGTATTTCCTATGAATTTTCTATAACCTAAACCCATACATATATAATAAATATAACTTGCATTAACCTCTATATCTGTATATTCTATATCTTTGCAGATCAACTCCGTATGCTAGCAAATATCTATTGATATTGGCATAGTCCAGATGCCCAGTCGCTGGCTAAGCGAACAGTTTCAACATTTATTGTGATTGTGAAAAACGTTGAAAGAAATCGTGTTGTTTTTTTTCTGAAATTTTTTTGGTGGATTTTTTTTTTCAAAGAACGTAAAGAGCGTTTCTCAAGGAGAAAGCGAGAGAGAGAGAGAGAGAGAGAGATATATATACAAAAACTCATACTCAAGAAATAAAGTGAATGTTAAACAAGTGCTAGAACTAAGTGTGAGTGCATGTGAGAAGAGAAGAGGAAGAGCAACGGAAAAGGGGTCGTCGGGAAGCTGGCCAGCTAGTGCAGCACTGTGCAGGGCGCGAAATGATGCCGCAATATCGACTTGACCTGCACACTGACGTCAGCCGAGCAACACCCAGCCACGCCTGCCCACCACTGCCATACAACACAACCTCTGCCTCAGCCACAGCCATAGCCACAGCCACAGCCTCAGCGTCAGCCGCAGCAACTGCAACAGCAACTGCAACAGCAACAGCAAAAGCAACTGAAACAGAAACAGCAACAGCAATAGCAATAACAGTCCCAGCCTTAGCTTCTGCCACATACAACTGCGGAAGATCGAGTTAAGCAAAGAAAAAAAAAAAAAGGAAATAAAAATAAATAAAATAAAATAAAATAAATAAAGATAATATTAATAATACGAAAAGCAAAATACGGAAGGAAGACTCACACTCACTCACACACACACACACAACATACATACATACATCATTCGACAAAGAGAGCGATATAAAGAGAGTGAGAGAGCGAGAGCGAGCGAGAGCATTAGAGTCAAACAATTAGAAATTAATTTCAACAGAGCTTGAAAGCAATTGCGACAATCGTATGTGAGTGAGAGATTACACTGGTGTATCAAGCAAATATATAGCCTACCGGAAACACTTGAAACACTTCACGAAAAGCCAGTCCAGCTAAAGCTAAGCTACCTGCGCTCAACCAGAGCGCCAAGGCCAACGACCACGTCAGTGCAACCGCCGTCATGTGGATAACACTCACTTATTTGGCCGTCATCGTAGCCCAGCTTTGTGCCTTGGTCCACGCCGCTGGTGGTAAGTGCACATCACTCTACTATATAAGCAATATACTCTCATATAAATATGTAGTCTAACTAAACTTAAAGTTGAAACAAAAGTTCGACTATATATGATAGGCCTTTAGAGTTTATAATCAGTCAACCATATATAGTGCATAATAGCTGAAAAACTTTACAGTTCATTATCTGTCGATAATATATGATATATTCATATATTCATTTTAACTAAAAATCGTTAAATTAAAGTTCAGTGAACCATATATGATATATATTAACAGTCTGAATAAAAGCCAAAGCCTAATAATTTCTTGAGGTATTCAAATTTAATATAAACTTTTAGGCAGGCTTATAAAATGTTTAAAATAGGATTTCTTCATATTCCATAATACATTTCATTTAATAATACTAATATATAGTTCGGCATCTGTTTTAGGGTTATCCAAAGACCAAATAAACTTATTAATAGCAGCGATAAGTTTGAACTGATTAGCCCAAATTTCATATACGAGATTTTTATATTATTCAATCAACTATATAGAAGGCTAAGTTTACAATGAAATAACAGTAGCCCTATAATATTTATATAAAATATTATATATATATATATATATCAAAAAACTCTTAAGACTTTTCTGAGTTGACCAAATATTTATAAAATATAGAATATATCATATATTGTATGTAATAGAAGCAATATTAAGTAGATTTATCTATTGTCAAAGACGTGGAATATTTTTAGTATTACTAGATTTTCGCGGCAAATTTATATATTTATCGGCTGTTGTTTTTATTTAAAATATGGAATATCTTACACATGCTTTTGATAATTTAGCTAAAAGTCTAGTATTAAATGCGCACTTTTTTGATTAGGCATCAAATTTATAGCTTAAATTTTAAAGAAAATGTACTATTTGATGCATTTATATAGGAGCTGCAGCTACCACTTCCATTGAGGATTTTTTTGTTAGCTTTTCTCATGCTGTTGAAGTAAGACTTATATGTTTTTCCCCAACTACCCCAACAGCATTTAAATCAATTGCTTTCTGCAACAAACAAATCTTCTTTGGAAAATACTTTATTTGAAGTTACATAGAATAGAGAGATTTGGAAGTCCTTGTTAGCGAGAAATCTAACTTTGAGAAACTTAAAAAAATAAATAAAAAAATACGAATGACAAATCATTTATATTTGAGAGAACTACAAATGTTTTCTATGATTTATTTGGTTTGCTACAGAGACCTTGGCAGAACTTCTCGTTGTTCAACTGGCTGTTATTTTAATTTCTCATAAGAAACATTTCTATTGAAAACAAGTATAAATTTTCCTCAAAAAATAAAATTAATTTAATGCATTGCTTAAATTTGCATATTAATTTAAAACATGGATGATTTCTTGAATTTATCCAATACAAATATTTCCTTAACTTATCTTGCTCATAATATGCTGATGGATATTAATGCCAAGAGTGTTATTCATCAGTGTTATTCATTGCTAAACTCTATATTTTTGTATATTGAAACCCACATATATATTGGTTTTCAAATCGTATGAATAGTAAAGATTACGCTTTGGTAATTTCGAAAATTATTTAGAAAATGCAATGAAATATCCAACTTATTACAGTATTTCGTAATCCATGTTAGCATATACCTACTTTCATTTTTCTCTCAATTCATATGAAATACATCCATTGCCCACTTCTATATGGATTAAAAAACATTCGCTTTAATAAGTAAACCAAGTGTCTATGCTTTTCCTATTACATCAATTCGCTCGAATGAGCTTTGAAACTTTGCAATCGAAAACCGAGACGTTTATTAAACATTCTCTGAAGCAAAAACTTTAAATATATAAGTATATCTAATATATATACATATACTCAATCCATATACATATATCAAATTTAGCTGTTATATTGCATTTTTGTTGTTGTCTGGAATCTCATAAAATGTAGTTTACTGTAAATGAAATTGTTTCGTAATTTCTTAGTTAACCAGGCCCAAAAATGCTTTGTAAGTAACTCAGGCTGAGAAATTTATAAAATATTTACTGTCAGAGCTTACGCTGAAAATTAGATTTTGCGAAGCATTGAAACAGGACACTGCGCCCCATGCAGGCAAATGATAAAGAACGTTGCTGCCTGTCAGGCACACGGCTCTATTAAAGGCAGTTTTAAAGTATCTCTTTTTCCTTTTTTTTTTGCGCTCTTTTTTGGATTTTGCTTTTCTCTTTATTTTTTATTTTTTTTGTGTGTTACGCTCAACCCTTGAGGAATTTTATTTTTACAACACATGTCACGCTTTCATCTAGTTGCTGGCGTGATTTAGTTTTGATTGATGCTCATTTTGTGGGATTTGGTCGCAACTATGTGACTGGGCGAGTGGGGCATACCCCACTTGGCGTGCAACAATGCAGAGCAGCAGCCCCAATATAAACACATTGTGCAAATATAACGCAAGTTTTTCTTATTTTTCTTGCTGTTGTTGTTGGTTTTCTCTCTCTCTCTCTCTCTTTTTTTGTGCGTTGCCAGCAGAAATTTTCAGCATTGACAGCAGTCAATACTGATGAGGGCTTTAAGCGCGCATCGATGAGCAAATAATAGTGTATGCCTTAGGGCATATATTTGCTGCCTTTTCTATTCGAGTTTTTCTGTTTTTTGGCCAGCAGGCGGGCGTAGCATTGCTTAATTTACCACATCAATTAACTGTGGCCAAGAAGAACAAGAGGAAGATGATGAAAAATAAACTTGTTTAAATTTGAAAAAGTTGCCAATGTGCACTGTTATCCCAGGCTGTGGCTGAGGCTTTGCCTCTTTCTGTTTCTCTTTTCGCCCACATTCTTTTTGTTTCTGCTATTGAAATGTTCCGACTGAAATGGATGGGAACGTGCTTTTGCATTTATGACTCTGTCATCGTTCTTTGATTTCCCTTTTGTGCTCCAGCCACACACGAAGTAATTGTCCTCAGCTCACAAAGTGGTTTTGTGCCTGCGGTTAGAAAATTGAATACAATTATTTATGCACTCACATATGGATCTTTGAAGGTATTCCAAACATCTAAGCCAGTTGCGCCTAATGGAGCGGATACCGATTGAAAGACCAACTAATGAAAGTTTGACAGTTTGCAGAGTTTTTCAAAGTGAGAATATGAGGGTTTTCTATAAGTTTTAGCATTGACAGTATAAATGCTAACTCAAAGATAATGGATCTATTCAGTTTTGTGGAGCTCTTCAGTCGACTGGTAATCGATAGTAAACATGTCAAAGGGATGGAGCTATCGATAGTATAACGATTGTTTCAAAGCTGGACCTAACAGCTCTACAAAACTGATATTTGTAGTTGCTAGAAATGTGAAGCCATACGCTATGCATATTCTATAGTTCTTGGGTACCGAGCAATGTCTAGGCTGAGCAATTTTCATGTCTATTGTATTAAAGATGAGGAAACTAAATTTTTATTAATAAATCAAATTGTAGGATATACAAGAAATAGGACTTAAAGTTATCTAATAATAATTTCCATTAGTACCATCGTTATTTATAGCTGATAAGACGATATATCGAACTAAATCCATAGATTTTACAAATAGTGATCGATATCGATACCATGGGATTGGTGTTATCGATGGCTTTAGCAGCTCAAGTTAGCCATTGAAATTAATTTTAGCTATACGGGCATTGACTGCACAATTAATATTCAGAGAGACTATTAATGGTGCCATCGTCGCTTCACTTAGCTCCATTTAACAGGGTATTCCGCTGTCCGCTCACGTCAGTCAATCGAATGGCAAACATGTTTGCATTTTCATTTCTCGTTTTACCTTTGCTCTGGCTATTTGTGGTTTCTGTTTGTGAATGTAACTGAGTTCTTTAAACTATGCCACGTTTCAGACATGCCAATACTAGCCCCTTGGCTGCAAAAATAATTAACTTGTCCGGGGCACTTGTTGATTGTGGCTTTTCTGTTATGTACGCTGCTGCAACTGATTGGCCTAGTCAAAGAGACGACTGAAGGGAAAGAGAGAGAGAGAGAGAGTGGGAGAGAGATAGAGAGAGAGAGAATGAAAGCATGAAAATGGATGAAGCAATATAGAGGCGAATTTAATCAAGCTATCGAAATACCTTTTTGCATTATTGACATTTTGAACATTTCTAACTTTGATATTGACTGGAAGTTGGAGAGCTGGAAAAAGACTTCATCAAGTGCATGCCAGCATGTGCCACATATATGTACGTGTGTGTGTGTGTGTGTTTGTGTGTGTGTATCGTACGTCTGCACGCACGCATGCCCCATGCATGCATGCATGCAAACCCGCATGCACGCACAAATTCACTTTATTGGCTTTTATGCGATGCGAAATGAATGCTCTCATGGCATCCATCTATGGCAATTTCTGATTATTATGGCAATTTACGTACATATATATACATATGCACATATATAGCTCGATATTGTTCAAGTTTAGTCTTTTGGCAAACAGTTTATCAATATTTGATAATTCAATTTGCCAGCGCCCATTGAGCACTTTATGTTTCCATTGTTGCTTCGATTATGCTCCTAATTAGTTGCCAATTATTGAGTTTGTGCAACTTAATATCAAAGTGCACACACACACAGATAGAATGATGCAGCCACACCCACACACCCACATCACTTACACTTAGTTAATTGTTCAATCAAAATTTCTATTGTGCCAAGTGCTAGATGTAGCGCTTTGCCGACAGACGTTGCTCGGGCTGAGCTTGCCATCAGACTTCAGTTGGCCCTGGCAGCAACCTAATATGGAAACTCTGTAAACGATTCCATGGTGCCTTGTTGTTGCAGTTAGTGTGGGCAAAACTTTAGCCGAGAAAACCAATTTGAATGTATCGAAATGCTTGTTATGCAACAACATCGACGCAATTCAATTTCTAATTAATTGAGAGTTTAATTTCGAATATTGAAGGCGCTTCCAAGGCGAATAATTGCAGGGAGGGGACGGTATGGGACATGGCCAGCGTATCGTTTTAGAATTCCTACGCTTTACCGTCGTATACGCAATTTGGCAAAGCGTTTGGATTCTGAAACAATATATGGTCAAAAGCATCAGCGATTGGTTTATTTGTAATAAATAACCAGGCGAACTTTGACTTGATTTGAGGCGGAACGAGATCTTGGACAGGTGCTCACAGTAATGAAGTGGAACAAAATATATCTATTTAATTAATGAGTTGAGTTTTTGAACTCAAATGCCATCAGCTTGAAAATACAGTTACCTTACAGATATTTGTGATAAATTGCAAAGCTAACTTTGACTTGATTTGAGATAAAGAAAAGTACCGTTGAGTTCTGATAATTCGTAATGGCATGGATATCATATTTGATCGATATCCAGAATTTGATATTATCGATAATTATCGACACGCATTTTTTCAAGGGGATAGAATTTTTTTCGATTTATCGCCATCTTTGATTTAGGATGAATTAGAAAGGCTCGACTGTATTATTAAATTATTCTCATGTATAATAAATATTTACTGTTTCTTGATTAGCTAGGTGATTACTTTAGCATTGCATAAGGATAGGAATAACTAAATTATATATTTTCTGAAGAAAATTAGTCTTATATCCTTACTGACATCTTTACTGACATAAACTTAAAGTAGCGATTTTATTTTTTCCATTTTTATTTTATATAAAAATTACTTAAACATTATTCTAGAAAAAATCAGTGGTTTGTGATATATGCTAGGAAACCATAATATTATGAAAATAAAGCAAACATTGATTGAATTGAATTTTTTGTATATATTTATAAATAATTATTTACTATTCACTCAGGTCATTTCCTTAATATACAGTCGAAACACGATAATTCGAAATGGCAAGAGGATCAGATATTTTTTGGTTTACACAGAAATTTAAATAATCGAAAATAATCGAGAATGAATTCTTTTAAAGGGGGTAGGATATTCTCTAAATTTATCATGATATTTGATTTGACAGGCTGCAAATTAGCGAAACTCGACTGTATTAAAATGACAAATTTTACGATAGGCATATGGAATAATAATATCGAATGATAATGTAATTGAATATGTATATAAATTCATTACCATAAAATACATATCCAATCCGTATATACATAAACTTCACTGCCATCAGACCCAATGGCTATGTTTGTTTACTCAAATTGAATTTAAGCCAAATATTTAAGCATAGTCTCTCTTTAAGCTAGTATACAAAAACAGTTTTCTTATAAAACTCATCTTTAAATAACATCAATCGCAATTCTAAATTGAAAATAAAAAATTTCCATTGCAGAAGCTGATTACACACTCGATGATTCGTTTTGGAACGAAGAAAGTCCAGTTGGTAAGCACATCCAGCCATTGTAATACTATTTTCCAATTGTAGCTCACCTATCTGTGCTCGAGTTTCCATTTATTAATATACCCATTCTGTATGACCAATGTGCGCTCAGGTGAAGTGGAACGCTTGCTCAAAGAGTATAGACAAAATCAGGAGCTTGTGCGTCGTATTGGTGGACATTATTATCAAATTATCTATCCGGTACAGCTGCGTCATCACGAAAAGATGGGAATCTCCACACGTGAAGTTAGCCCTCCAAAGGTACGCAAAGATTTGCATAAGCGAAATACTAGAAAAATCGAATCAAACACAATGGTATGTTCATATTTGGTCTCATTCATTCATCATATTTGTTTGCTCCATTGTTTTTTCACAAACACACACACACTCACTCTGACACTCACATTAACCTCATTCTCCCACTCATGTTAAGCTCGAGCTTAACAAAAGTAAAAACCAAAGGTTTCTCATTGAAATACCTTTGGAGGCGAGAGAACCTTGGCCAAAGTCCAAGTTTGTTTGGCTATTTGTTTCTTCCTGCACACTGTCAAAACTTTATACACTAGACGGATGATGTTTAGAAACTGTAATTGAATATTATATAATCATATTTATCATTGCACTTGTTGTGGTCGGTGTGCTGTGAGAACCAAATGTCGATTCATAGGCCTTCAAGTACTATGTGTTTTTTTTTTTATATGTTTTTAGCCGGGCCAGCGACCACGCCCACACGACGACAGCGGCTTCAGCAGAGGCAGGACAAAGGTGTGTGCCATACCATACAGCAAATTTAAATATACAAACATATACTATATAGTTGCACTGAAATCCAATCAGAAGACTAATTGGAATTCATTTCGCATGCTCAAAAGAAAAATGAAAAATGCTTTGATTAAACGGACAGTTTTGGTGTCTTGCACAGATTTCTCGTAATAATGCGAATGCCAGAAGCTGAAAACGTAATTTATATTCCATTTCAGAAACATTTTCATCGCACCTCATTGCTGATCAAGGCATTTAATCACAAATTCCGATTGGATTTGGAACTGAACTCGTGAGTAGAAAACTCTCTGACGATTCTTTCAGATCTTTTGCATTACATTTCTTCTGCTACCCCCGCTCTCCCTCCCTCTATTTTCTTATATAGTCAACTACTTTCACCCAACATACAGCAGAAGCACTATCATGTCAGTGGATATCAGGTGGATGGCAATCGACATGTAAGTAACCCAGAGCTCTATTGATTTCCAGTTTGTTTGCCTTTTTGGGGACGAATCTAGCAGTCGTTTCCTATAGTAGTATAAATACTGAAGCGTTTCGTACATCAACACAAAGAAAAAATCACAAAAAAAAAACCCAAAAAAAATAAATAAAACTAAAAACAAAATAAAATCCTTGGAAGAGGACATACTAAACAAGAATAACCAGAAGACACACGACTGGCACAAGATGACGAGCATGGCTGAGGCACGTGTCAAGCGCGAGTTCAAGGAGGCGCTCAGTGGCGAAGAGTTCTGCCAGTGCCAGATCAAGATGGAGCTGGTCAACGATAACTGGACCGAGCTGCGTGGCGAGATAGCCGGGCCGCGTGGCACGCCCTATGAGGGCGGCAGATTTGTGCTGGATATCAAGGTGCCCGACAGATATCCATTTAGTCCGCCCGAGGTACGTTTCATCACACGCATCTGGCATCCGAATGTTTCGTCGGTAACGGGCGCCATACGCATGGACATCCTGAAGGATCACTGGGCCGCGGCCATGACGCTGAGAACCGTGCTGTTGTCCCTGCAGGGCATGCTCAGTGTTGCCGAGCCGGACGACTGGCAGGACTTTGTGGTTGCCTATCAATTTAAGCAGCGCCATGATCTATTCCTGCTAACAGCCAGGCATTGGACCAGCGCCTATGCGGGCGGCACGCGCTCGTTTCCCGAACTCGATCTGAAGATCCAGCGCCTCAAGGATATGGGCATCGATGAGCATAAGGCGCGTGCTGTGCTCTCCAAAGAGAATTGGGACCTGGAGAGGGCAGCCGATTGTCTATTTCTATAGGCGCGCACTGCACTGGGATTAGTAAAATCAACGACAAGCAACAACAGATCCAAAATCATAGAGTGATGTATCAACTCCATTATGTGGCCCAACTCTATCTAGTCTCAACAGCAATCGCACTGACAACAACAACAACAACCACGCCAACTACAAAAATAACAGTTTAAAATTCCAAATTCAAGTCGAACTTCATACAGCTGCCACGGTGGGCCCAATATACCAGAATGCAGAGTGTAATCGTTGGACCACGGATGCTACAATCAATTTACCACGCCCAAATTTGTATAACGTAGTAGTTAGCCGGTTCGGAAAATTGCGAAATTTCTTTGCCGTGTAATTTTGATGCTTAGCGCCAACATTCGGAGCATTGCAGCCGCACCAGCTGTACGTGTTTGTTTCGCATAGCCAGGAATTGGATCTATATACCCCAGTGTCCCAGCATCGAATACTTGGCTATTCGAAACAAGTATGGACATCGGATGGGTGAAATAGGTCCGTTTGTTCTGTTATTTTTGAGTGCATTGGTACATTGCAGTTGATTTAGTATAGGTATACGAATATCGTATGCAACAGATCCCCAGGGTTTGCGCATATGCCTTTCCCTTGTTTTGCTAATTATCAATATTACTTGCACTTTAATAATCATGCACATCAAATACAAAAAGATTTTCAAAATATAAACCAGGTCTATTGTTTTCTATGCAGTTTTTTTTTTTGAAAATGGGGTGCGAGCCACTAACCAGACAGACCCATCTCGGTCGAGCGCATGAAGAGAAATGAGTGTGCTTCCTGATATTTTCGTAGGAGGAGCCGAAAAAAGTATGCGAAAACCTTTACACTGCGTGTCCGGTCTATGTGTTCTATGATTAGTGATAAAAGTCTACAAAGCTGTAAAAAACATCCGTAGTGGCTTCACGCAACGGTTCTGTGTCATTGATACTATCGATGATGCTATCGTGATCGTTCGAATAGCTTTGCAAGCTTTCATTATTAAGTAAATGATGATAAAAGTAAATATCATTTGCTCAGAACGAAATCAATCAACTTTCAATTAAACGACTTAGGTTATATTTTAATAATAACTAATGAGGCATAGAAATTATTATCTTTTATATTAATATTGAAATTACTCATCGGGATCAGGTGTCAGAATTTTCAGCAATAGGAGGTGAGCCAGGAAAAAGAATATGAATTTACCTGGCAGTAAATTTACTTACAAACGTTGCGAGACGATATAGAAATATCGCACAGAATCAATCGATCTATCGAAAAAGTCAATGTCCAGCGTTACTAGTGATGCTGCCGATAGCTCTAACGGATTTGGCACATGTGCTTAAAGGAAAATATACGAATATTCTGGCTGCTGCCGACAATTACGAATGCGTCATAAATTCATTTTCCACAGAGTCTATTCTGGGCACAATGCAAACGTGAATAGTCAAAAGTATTATTATTTATAGTATCGTATTCTAAGCCGCATCGATTTATTTATGAAATTGTATTCTCTTGCAGGACATCGAGCATTGTTATTACCATGGCACAGTGAAGGATTATCCGGGCGCCAGCGCCGCCTTTCATACGTGCAACGGCGTCAGCGGCGTAATACACATCGGCAACGAGACCTTTGTCATCCATCCGTTCTACGGCGGCGATCTATCGGTAGGGGCTTAGCTTGATTGCCATACATACATACCTACGTCATATTTATGCAATTGCTATGACTTTACTTCTATAGAAACATCCGCATGTGATTTTTGAGGCGCGCACCAAGGCGAACAAAGGCTGTGCCAATTCGGGAAATTTGGACTCGTGGCGCTTATCGCGCCGGACCAAGCACCTGTCCGCTGGCGTTGTTGATGAGATTCATCCCAATGGGGCCGGACGCTATAAGCGGGATGTGCGCGAGGCAACCAAATATATTGAGACGGCCATCATAGTGGATAAGGCCATGTTTGAGAAGCGCAACGGCAGCACGCGCGCCGAGGTCATACACGATGCCATACAGGTGGCCAATATAGCTGATTTGGTAAGTCACAAACACACACTCACATACACACACACACATGCACATCTATATGTATTTCTCATAATGTCCTCAGTATTTCCGTACGCTAAACACTCGTGTGTCGGTGGTGTATATCGAGACGTGGGGCAAGAACCAAGCGGCCATTGATGGCAGCAAGGACATTAGCAAGGCCATATCCAACTTTAATGACTATACGGTTAGGAATATATACCAAATCGAGCGAGATACCACCCAGCTGTTATCGTAAGTACACACGTACACACATACACACACACATACACACACATATGTACACGTGCTTTTACGAATTCCACAGAGGGGAAACGTTTGCCGGAGGCGAGGCTGGCATGGCCGTGCCGGAGACCGTCTGCACGCCCCGTGCCGTCGGCATTAGCGTCGATGTGAATGTGTATGAGCCGCACCTTTTGGCGGGCACAATGGCCCACATGATTGGACACAACATTGGCATGGGCCACGACGATGGACGTAAGTAGAGGCGCTAGCATAACACATTATAACTAAATTCGGCATAGATGCTTTGCTGTCACTTTCGCTTACCGCTTATCGTATTATCGGTAACAATTAACGCCTTTCCTCAGTTGTTAATTGTTATCGATTTGGCTGCTTCGTCAAGCAGAGTAAAGCCGTAAGCTATGATAACAGTGATAACAATGCGCGCTGGGCCTGAAATTTCAATTATTGCAAGAATTTGCAGCCGCTTTGATGCTGTTGCATTGCCATTGCCATTGTATTGTGTTTTCATGCAAATTTCACACATTCATCCAGGTGAGGAATGCTTCTGTCGGGACTGGCATGGCTGCATTATGGCACAATCGATTGTCGGCCAAGAGAATGTGCAGCCATACAAATTCTCTGAATGCAGCAAAAAGGACTACATTGACGCATTGCGAACGGGTCACGGGCTTTGTTTGCTCAACAAGCCAAACGAGGTGAGATGGATGCATACTATTGCAACTACTGTTCCCCTCTCTGCCTCACCCTCTCCCCCTCTCTATCCCTATCCCTCACCCTCTTCCTCTCTCAGTATATCAATACACAATAGGTTCTCAGCTGGCTGTGCGGTTGACCGTTATGAGGGTTAATTGCTGCGAGTAACTACATCAGCACAGATAAACGCGCAGTTGAATAGTTAGCTAAGTACTGTGACTAACTCGAGAATACCCTATAGCAATTAGATATAATGACAATGTATGAACAAAGTCGGAAATCTCATTGTTCTTTGCCCCTCTATAATTTATTTATGGTATTTGTTTTAAGGTTTCCCTCATTGAGTTACTCTAGTTAAAGATCTTGCAGACATTTATAGAACTTACGTAACTTTCCCCCAACCTCAATCAAGTTTAAATCAATCGAAACACAATTCCTATTAAAAAATGGCAAACCTAATTTGTTGTTCAGAGGAAAAAAACAGAAATTGACTTATGTCTATCCATATCACTTGCAGATTGAGTTGCGCCGCAACTGTGGCAACAAAATCGTCGAGGAGGACGAGGAGTGCGACTGCGGCACATTTGAGGAATGCGCATTGGATCCCTGCTGCGATAGCATCACATGTAAGCTCAAGTCCGAGGCCCAGTGCGCCAGCGGTGCCTGCTGTGACCAATGCCGGGTAAGTGAGGAAATGTGAAATGTGGCATGTGGCATGTGAAAAGTGGAAAATGCGTTTGCTTTTGATTTTTAACACAATTGCGTTTAATCCAGCTGCGACCCAAGGACTACATATGCCGTGACTCCCACAACGAGTGCGATCTGCCCGAATACTGTGACGGCGAGATGGGACAATGTCCCGCGGATATCTACAAGAAGAACGGTTCGCCCTGTGGTCTGAGCAAATCGGGTGTATCGGGTAGGACGATGACTGCGAAATATGGTAGTGCAGCACCTTTAAATGTCTCCAAATTTTCTCCCCTTTTCTCTGGTCCTCTTTCAGGCTATTGCTTCCAGGGCTACTGCCCCACGTTGACACTGCAGTGCGAGGCCATTTGGGGCTACGGCGGCTTTGCGGCTGACCGTCAGTGCTACGAACAGTTCAACTCGAAGGGCTCCATCAACGGGCACTGCGGACGCGATGCCAACGATCACTACATCAAATGCGACCCTGAGTAAGTGCAGACGCCTCCCACCGATTCTCGTTTGCCTCTTTACTAACTCATTTTGCATGCCCAAGATCTGAATTGACTGCAAATTATCAAACTGAAGTGCTCAATGTTTACATATTGCTTGAATAGTTATGAGAGTTGCTTTTTTTTTTTGCTGGCCATTTTTTATTCAATTGCTTTTCAATTTTCCAACAGCGAGTAAAACTAACAAAAATATACGAATTCAGCATGAATAAATCCAAAATTGCAGAATTACTGTTGAAATGCATTAATGAAGTTAACTTGAACGATTATTTAACAAATTGAAACGGAATTTGCCAGCTGTACTTCAATTACTTTTGATTTATCCAATCAAGCGCTTGATATGGGCGTAATTTGTGTTGCCATTCGTGTGGATAGTTTCGCTTATCAATAATATTTATTCATTTATACAACAGGAATGTGCAGTGCGGCACGCTCCAGTGCAAGGAGGGCGAGAGGCAGCCTGTCAATGATGGCTTCGACCAGCTCTACTCGCGCACGATTATCTCCATCAAGGCGCAGGAATACGAATGCAAGTGCGTAGCGAAACTAACAGTTGTGTGGGGCGTGTGGGTGTGGGGGGTGTGGCGCGAGGCGGGGATCAATAATTCCAATATTGACGATGCCTATGGACACACAATGGCTTCTATATATATCTATATGTATCTATGTATATATATGTGTGTGTGTGTGTATGTATTTCGCAGGGCAACCAGCGGTCAATTGGGCTCGAACAACTACCCGAAGCACGGTCTGGTCAAGGATGGCACGCCATGCGGTGAAAATTTGATTTGTCTGAATCAAACGTGCGTCAGCCTCTTTCCGCATGTGGATCAAACCAAGTGCCCAACAAACAAGCAGGGTCAAGAGTGCTCAGATCGTGGTGTAAGTTCAAAAACTGGAACACAAAACAAAAAGGCAAAAAATCAAAAAAAAAAAATTAAAGAAAAAAAATATACACATATAGAAAAAAAAAAGAAAATCAACAGCTGCCATGCAAGTCACTTGTATACCTTCCCACTTACATATTTCTACCACATATTTCCCCCTGCTCCCCTGGTTCACTGCACTCCACAGTTCTGCACAAACGTGAATCGCTGCTTCTGCGATATGGGCTGGGGCGGCCCGGACTGCAGCACGGTGGTGCTGCTGACGACACCACTGCCAACGGAAGCGTTGCCAACGCCGGAGAATACAATCAAAATGGAGAAGAAAGAGACTCCATATGGTAAGAACAATGCCAGGCAGCAACAGCAACCACATATTGGTATCTCTACTAATCGAATCTAATCACAACAACTTAATTAGAATTACAATAATTTAACATAACTTTACCATGGCCGGCACCGGCGTTATGGAGAGGTATCTGTTATGTACCCATTACCGTACCGTACCGTACCGTACCTTACCGTACCGGTACACTCCAACTTGCCACAACTAAACTCAATTAGCGAACTCACACGGTCTCTCGATAAGTTTGATAAATGATTTGATTGCAATTCG